GATCAATTGATCCCTGTTGCGGAGCACCGCTCTATACCCTGAGACCATCTACCATGTCTCGCTAGTCACGACAATGAATTGCCGGCCCCTTGCCCTCGTGTACCTACTCGCACAAACTCACGCACCACCTGCCGCCGATGCCGCTGGGAAACAAGAAGATCTGGGCTTTGTTCTCGTGGCCTTCGGCGCCACCCTACCGCCGCTATACCACGCCACGTCCATGGAAAGTTCCAGTGCGTCATCAATCCGCCCTTCGTTAAACATCCGGCGATGCCCGCCGTCTACTACGTGTTTGTCTCCGTGTTTGAGAGCGACATGACGCTACAATATACAATCAGTGTAGTAGAATTTTTTAAACAATCTGCAAGAAAAAATATTAAAATTTAATGAATAATGTTCATTGAAATAGAAATATGTCATGAGTAATAATAACTATTTCTTTCTTTTTCATGAAAATGTCTAAGCTGCTGATATATATCAGTACAAAAATGACACAAATTAAAAACTAGATTCTAAATGTATGCAGATGGGCTTATTGAGATAAGAAAATTTGTATCCAGACGGAAAATAAAAAACAAGGTGATGCTGATTGTTCATATTTTATTTCACAAAACTACAAATTATTTTCACAACTACATCTAAAATGTTTTAATTAATATCCCAAATGCTGAAATTTAAATATTTTGTTTTCATGCTAGAGTAATTCTCTGTTGATAAACTTAAACAAATAGTAAATAAATACTCTCATAAAAGTTATTACCAGTTAAATTAAAAAATATAATCTCAAACATCGTGGTTTATATAAAATTTATCTTTTTCTTCTTTCACAACGATTGGACATGAAAGAAACCCGGGTAACGCCCGTGCTAGTAAACATATAAAACGAAATATTGTAGAATTCATTTTCTCTGTATATAACTTATTTGAAAGCATTTTATCATTTACTAGTATCTAAATCGCCCAATATCTATCTTCGTCTTATTTCATGTTTTAATAGTTTTATTTGAGTTCATTAATGTAATTATTGACGAAGTAGTCATTCTTGTAATGAATAATAGTAATGAAATAAAAATGTTTGTTTCCCTACAAATACTTAATGCATCATGCAGCTCACACAAAAAGGCAACAACAAATATTACGCGGCACTTTCTGACTTAATTATAAGTTTTCTCTTTGAGTGCCATAACTTAAGTGTTACCATATCTTGAAATTACACACACCTTCCATATATTTTCCTTATTGAACACGAAAGAAAAATATAGAATAATCAGAATTATAAATTATTAAAAAGCACTTTCAATGGTTTAGTTAAGAAAATACTACTTTTCCTAAGAACACTGTTTTCATTTAAAAACAGGAGGACGCATAACAAGGTATCCATTAACTTAACAAAAACATTTTCAGAAATAGGAATGCCTTATAATAATAATAATAATAATAATAATAATAATAATAATAGGACAATCGAAATGAAAAAATCAAAAACATGTCTGTTGCACCAATAAACAATACTCCTTATACTATTATAACTCCCCCAATTAGTCCCGAAATACATTGAGTATCATTTTACAAAATGTTTTGTTTAATTCTAAACACAGTTCATTTCGAACTCATCCTGTATTAGTCGAATTTTGTTTCTGCTACCTTTCAGCCTTTATCCACCCACTCCTCTCTCGTCAATTTTCTTGTGGATGGCCTATTATAAATGAATTATTTTAGTGGCCAAGATGAGACTTGTTGTGTTTCTTCAAATGTTGTTCTATCGTGAACAACGAGCTTCACGGTCCCTAATATTATTGCATGTTGGTCATAAGGGGCCATCAGTGCGTTAACTAATCGTACAATCAACTAACATTTTTATTATAAGTGATTGCATATATTATGTTAAAAATACAAAACAAAAAACAAAACAACAAAACATTCGGCGTGCTCCTGGCGGCCTTCTGAGCCAATTTAATGAATATAAAGACCCACTGTTTCAAGAACCCTTTTAAATACATTTACACTTTTTGACATTGACGCATTGCTACTGTTCTTATCGACAGGAATGCATTCTCTCCCGATGTGTCATCTTGAATTTTTTTGTATATTGATTAGATAGACATAGCCAAGAAGATTAAAAATATGAGATAGCTATGCATTTATAGAAGCACCACTCAAGAACACCCATAAATTGCTTAAAATCAAAATGGTTATTTATGAATTTCAAAGTACGGAAAGAAATAGCGAGGAAAAACGAATTCGCAGAAAACTTTGAATAAATGTATCTCCTCGAAAAATTTACGTGTGCAGAAACTTCCTCAATAAATGAAGTTAAAAACATACATTATAATTTTTAATTATTGTTTATTCGCAAATTTCCTGTTTTGTTCTTCAACAATGCGCACAAACCTTGTTACTACGCGAAGGCAGTCTCCTAAAAGGAAATTTAATTTATTTTATTTGAAAATATTATTGTAAACTTGCCTTACAAATAAAATGTGTACTAATTTCATCTCTGTAGAGGTCAATTTAATTTTGACTAGACATTAGCAAAATCAAAGATAACTTATTCCAACTGAATGCCAAGTGTTTAGGCTTTGTTCTTCTCGGTCGTTTTCATCTCTTCAGCCGCTATGTTCCCAGATATTCCATATTCGTACTTTGTGCGCGTAGCCTAACCTTGCGGTATTATCAGGTTTCTCCTAACCTGTGCCACGAGAGCAGAAACCTTTGCCATATCTCGTCAGAGTTGTCCTCCCCTGTCTGATGTACATTTAGTAGCCTATATTTTATATACTTTCCGCGTTTTTTGTTTTTTACAAAAAGATTTGGTTCTACATGTCCTTACTAATTCTGTATTTTTGCTATATTTTATTGATTGAAAGTGGATTTAGTTGAACCGGACAATACCTATGTAATTGAGCTTTTGAAACTTTTTCATAATCACCATTCAATAGTATCCCTAGCGCGCGTCGCGGCTTTTATCATTGATTTCGCAGATCTCTAGTTGCAAAGAGTGCAACAGCCCCGACGAACGCGTGGCCCGCACAACTGTGAAAACAATTGCGCGCCGCGAAACAACTGATCCGTACCGCCAGATGTCATTCCAACAGCGCCACATTTTATATCTACCTAGTTTTTTTACTGGTTATGGATACGTTCTAAGAGAAAAATCGTTTTTGGCAGCACAGGCAGGGTCTGATTTCTGGCGGAACAGGCCGTAATTGCGTTCCGGTTCCTTCGGAACAAAATAATTAAGAAAAACAGAAAGGAATAAGGAAACATTGGGTATCGATTTTTATCTTATCCAACTTGCGATAAAATTAAATACTTCCCATAACTGTCTCTTTTAAAGTCATAAAATTATTAATAGATGACCTATAAAATTACACAATACACTTTCAATAATTTTTATATCATATTATATAGTTTTATTTTCATATATGTCGATCATTGTTACTTATTTTTATTATTAATATCAACAATTTATGTTAAAAGTTTAATGAATATTCACTGCATTCCCAAACCTCCATTTTAGACATCAAACACCGAGAATAGGTATCTTTAAACCACAAGTAATAATAAGCATCTTGTTTCAGTAACTCTAATTTATCGATACAATCTCTGGGACGCAGAAAATTGTTGTAGATGTACTTCCTAAAAAGTAAACTCGAATGTACATGCTAGATCGGCATTACGCCTGTACAATAAGGTGGTAAATCGCTAGCTTACTGAAGGCAACGTATTAAATTATTTGAGAGTAGGTCCACATACGTTGGCCCTAAACTGGATCGGATCCTCCATATGAGCCATCGTTGTTATGTAGAACAAAATCTTATTTCCAACAATAGCATTACAATGCAATTGGAAACAGACATGCGTAAAATCTGCTGAAACTCTCCGCAGATCGTTACCATCACGTTCAGTTGCGATCTTTCTTCGACCTGAAGTACATGGGTCACATACACAAGGACAACCAATCACAACGATAAGATTCTCAATGAGCACGAACTCACCAACTCATTGGTTCTAATACCCATGATTATCGAATCGCCCGACTTAAAGACGCAGGAGGGAATTATTACAGGAATTACAGGAAACTCCAAACCGCGTGCCCATGCGCCCCAGATCACGAATATCAATGTCACACTATCACCCGATGGCCGGCCTGGATGGCCGAGTTGGGTAGAGCGTGTGCCGATTCAGCGCCTCGGTCGGGGATTCGAGTCCCGCCGTGGACGTGGTTGGTTGTCCCTTGTCTTTCATGTATGTGTGTCTGCCTTGCGAGTCTGCTGATCTTAGACCAAGTAGACCGCAAGTGTGTCAAGATCAAAAGTTAAATACGTGTCCTTAAGAGGGACATAGTGGGTACCCGGCGCGGACTGGCGAAAATCAACATCCCCGTACCTCTAGTTAGAAATAAAAGTTGAATCCATTATTGCAAAAAGTGAAAAATGAGAAAAATTTAAATGTTCAGATGTACAACATATCAGAAGTATTAGTTGAGAACAAAAGAAAGGACCATCGGAAGAACGATGATTAAAGAGCTTCAATGTCACGATGAACTGGGGAGGCAGAAGGGGTGTTGGCAGACCTGCGCCCGGGTGGGCCGCACACTTATGATCTAGTTAAATACTTTCCTTTGTAATTGTTTTGAGAAAGAAACACACAATCCATACAAGCAATACTAGCTTTAACTTGTTAGGGTCATCGGAAGTTAAAACCGATAACGCTAACAAGTAAACTCCAGCACACAGACAAAATGAAGGACTATAGGAAGAGGCGGTGATTCAACAGCTTTCGTCCCGATGAACAAGCGGGACGGAAGAACGGTTGGCAAGCCAGCGGCCGGGTGGCCTGTAGCCGGATTACAAGTTAAAAACGGAGTTTTTTTTTGTTAGCTTTTTGTAATTATTTCGAAATAGAAATACACAATCCATACATGAACTGATCGGTTTTACTTGTTAGGGTGAGAAGAATTAAGGGAGCGAAGGAAGGAGCTGGGGCCGGGGCCGGGTCAGTCGGCCGGGTGCAGCGCCTTGAGGCGGTCGGCCACCTCGGACAGGCGGCGCCGCGTGCTGGCGGAGAGGCGGACCCCGCTGCCGCTTCCGCCGCCCCGGTCGCCGGCCATGCGCGCGGCGGCGGCGGCCGCGCTCAGCGCCGCCGACATGGCCATGGCGAGCTGCGCGCGCCCCACGCCCCACAGCCCCTGGCTCTTGTGCTGCGACTGGCCCAGCAGCTCCTGCGCGCCCACCGGCAGCGACGACGTCGCCTGATCCGGCTGGCCCACACACACACACACACACCCTCCGTCAGCCTTCTAGCCTCTATTGACAACGCAGTCGCGGAATAAATGTTACAAACTTCTAAGGAGCAGTCGATTGATTGATTAACACTGGTTCCGGGCGCGTCAAATTCTAATACCAATGGTCCCGTAAGGGTAGTGCACGTTTTATCGCTGGAGGTGGCAATGATCTTGCTCAGATCGATGGCAAGATCCGGCGCTGACCGGTTAGCGGTGTTTTCCTCAACCAGGAATCTTTCACCAGCGGGACTCCGCCCTAGCCGGGTCAAGATCCAAGTTCCCGACCATTCAGAGGAGTCGATGATAATCACTTTCCGCAATGAACGTGATAGGAAATCTCGTATAAAGAACTTGCGCGACTGTCGTTTGCGCCTTATTGGAAGGCAACACGTCATGCACTTGTGTTTGGCAGTTCACGAATTCTCGTTGCGTCTGAACGAGTATTTGCAAACAGAAGTGTACGTTGAGGTATGAAAACAACATTGGCATAAAAGCCAGTCCTTAGAAATTTGTAACGTTTTTCCTGAGACTACATATTTGAAGTGAAGGTTAGGGCTCTAGATAATTCTGTGCGAATTCATTCTTAAAAATAAATTCAATTTAAGTATTCAATTCGAGGTTTTCGTCAATAATGAACAAATGTTTTGGTAGTATGTACTCGTAGAGTAATTTCTTACACTACAACATCACAATTATCACAAATGTATAACTATGTCGCCGCTATGAATATGAGAGTACGATTATCTTACTTTTAACAAAAAAAGTTGCCTAGGAGTATCCTAAGAGTTGAACCGTTATATTCAAAACAACACCTTGCCTACGTATTTCGTACAATAATATATATTTTCAAATTGTTCAATGCATTAATCACCCCAACGACCCAGACGTTAGTCCCGGTCCCTAATGCATATAATGATTTGAATTATTAATATATTTTATGCAGAAAAAGGGTCACACTATTGATAATATCCTCTGAACGGATCTTATTTCCAACGTATTTGACATACCAAGAAGGTGACAAGGTGGTGACAATTAAATGTTACCTTAACCACTGCATTTGACTGTTCGAACGTGTTTGGTTATAAAATCACTCTCTGGTATTTGTGCATTGTTTTAATACGTCATTATTAAGCGAGGATCATTTGAAACTTCTAAACACCATAACCAGATATTCATGAGGAAAGCATTCCGCACATGGATTTTACCTGGACTAGGTGAAATGGGATACGCAAAATTCTTCCGTTCCTTCCAAAAGAAATTTTTTTCTGTTACGACTCGTTTCAAGTGTGTTGAGTGCGTTCAAGTGTTTCGAGTGTTTGAGCGAGGAGGGGAATGAAAGAAATGAAGTTTGAATTGTAGATGTAGCGGATGAAACAGTCAAGTAAGGAATTAACAACGAGTACAACTTGGGACGTAACAGAAACATAACATCTGAAATTATAATCTGTGTGAGGAAAGCTAGAACAAAATGTAGAATAAAATATCTACAGAAGAAATTTAGTGGTTGGGCAGGAAATGGCGTACAAAAGATGAAAGTGGAAGCAATTCTATAATTTAGTGCTATATTATCGGCGTAACGGTATCCAATATGGAAATTATTATAAAATAAGGAAAAGAAGAATAATGGACTTTTAAATGTGAAAAGTTTATAATACACAAAATGTGCATCAAAACTGAACATGTTGTGGATATTTAGAGGTAGAGTTTATGTACGAGAATATAAGATGACCGGTAGAGCCCAGATTGCCGGGAATGGTGGATGCAATCTAAGAAAATATGTAAAAAGCACTTATGTAGATGAAATGAAGGACGTCCAAAGACACTAGTATAATAAAAGAAAGTAATTGTGTATCACGGAAGAACCATCGGCGCAGATAAGAGCGAATAGGAAGGTGTTCAACAATAGGCAGTAAGAGAATATTATATGTAAATAAGTTCTGGGCTTCATTTTTCGCAACTATAACAAGAGAGAAGCAATGAATAGCAAAAAATTCACTAGCAATGAATAGCAGAAAGATCCACAAAAAGACTGATATTATGGGGAAGTGCTTTTGGAGAATGTAAAGTAGGAGAATAAAGTGCTAAACTAGTTAGGCAGAGATATCTGAGATACAATTAAGTACGCTTTGATGGTTTAGGAAGGTGATGCGGTTGATTGTACATTGTACTGTACATTGATTACATAGGGAGAATAATTAAAGTAACAAAGTGCTGGTTATGTTCATCTGGGAGGACATGGGATATTACGTGTTGATTTAAGTTTTGTTTATGGTAAGCTGAAAAGAGATATAGCAATGGACCAATAAATTAGGGCACTGAAAATATACAATTGTAGTAAGTCAAATAATTCAAATGTAATTTTTATGTTGTATAATGATGTGTTAGTGATAATGAAAGAATAACTTTTAAGTAAAGAAGTAGATGTTAAAATAAAGTACAATAAAACAACATAAATGTTAATAAGTTACGACTCACAAACTGTGAGTGATCAATCGATGAATTAAAATAATGGGATAACTGTTATAAAAGAAATGTATTTTTTCCTATATATTAAGTGCAGATAAGGTATCCGTATAGTGTAAAGCAAGAAAGAGAAATCTAGGATAATGATGTTCTCAAGAAAAAAGATTGTGTGATGAACGAATAATATGGGATATTATGGCATTTATAATTGTTATCTTATATGTGAAAGACAACATTTGTTTGTTTGTTGGTTGGTTGGTTGGTTCATACTTAATGCGCTTCCGTACCTTTCATCCGATGGCGATAAAACTTTGCCAACTTATTGCTTGCTCTTCCGATAAGAATATAGGCATAGTATAGGCATAGCATTGTTTGTTTCTTGGTTGATCCATACTTAATGCGCTGTCGTACCGTTCATCCGAATGCGATAAAACTTTGTCAACTTATTGCTTGCACTTCCGGAAAGAATATAGGAATTGTACGATGGGAATGTGCATATAGGTGCGCGTTGATGATTTTAGATTGAGTCAAGGGGTCTGATCAGGGCGCTTTACACAACGGCACTCTACGCAACCCGTTGCACATGAACTACAATTAATAAGACGTCTTCATCGCGTATTCTGTCTATGCTATTGTGAAATTTCTCCCGGGAAAACATATACAGGGAGAGACAGAGGAAGGCAGAGACGCTGAGAGAGAAATAAACAGAAACAGAGAGTCAGAGAGAAAGGGGAGAGAGACAAACACACGGAGAAAGAGACGGAACCTCTCGAGAAAGTCTTTCGTCTATTGAAGTTTTTGCAGAGCGTAGTGTAAAACGTTATTAATAACTACGTAACCAGTAGCACGTGAAGTGTAATAGCTTGCAATTGCGAAGCTTTGCCGGGTCCACTAGTAGTTAAATATAGAATGCCGAGTCAAGAACTGTGAGGACTTGGTGCTTGAGTTTTCCTGGTGATGGGCTCTCGATTCCGCGGAACTGCCCGAGCGATGGCACCTGCTTCACACGCTCTTGCACACATCTTTCCTCGCATGGAATGTTGAAAAGTGTCTTCTTCGCACACACTTCACGCTCCTACAAAACGTGTTTAGTCGTATTTATTAAATTCGTCCTGTCTATGTTAGACACTTCATTCAATACATGATTCTGAAACGTATTGGGTATTTGTTATTCTTGTATACTCTGTACACCAACGCATCCCACAAGAAACATCACCGAACAACATCGCATTAGGATATTTCGCCGGCCACAGACAAATTTCTATCCTCTCTTGAATGGCTGAGCTGAGATGATGCTCACAAAACGTCGTAAAAACCAAGTTTCGAGATGATGTACAATCTGCGCAAAGTCGCGCACAATCAAAATGATGCAGTTCGCTATCTGCACATTGTTATTTCAATCTGAACACACTATTTTCGTTCCATGTTAACTTCTGTGCGGAAAGAGGAAATCTGACAATGAGTATAGGAAGAAAACCGCAACGTCTCTGTGCCGAAAGAAGCTGCCCCGCGGGAGCGGCCGCTCCGCCCGCCGGGTCAGAGGAACGCGCGATGAACTGCGCGTCGTTTGGTGTCAACTGTTCGAACTCCTCACAGACGAGTAGACGCTCTGGGGAAATAGTTTTAACTCTGATGTGGCGGAAGGATTTGGTAGTTCATGCAAGAATATATAAGGAAAGATCAGCTGTAAATAATAGTAGAGAAATAAAGACTATTAAAATAAGAAAATATGAAGTTATTAGGTTAATTATATTACGGTTTGCAAGGAACTATAATAATTAAGTAGAATATACTAAGAATTGAGATAAAAGAAATAAATAAAATAGTATGATAGAATAAATGCCATATGCACATTATTGGAAAAGTGAAAGGATTGAGTTAAGACAGTTGAAAGTAAAGGGAGTGTATTAATAATGTATTTGATTTCTAGATTTAGTAGTATAATAGTATACAATAATGGGGACAATGATATTACGTAATTGCGAAAGTGAGAAAAACGCAGGTTTAAATTTTGCGGTTGTACAAGGTTGTGTTAGATTATATAAGAATAGATAAACTTCAAAGTAGATATTAAAATAAATAATGGTAAAACTATCAAAAGGTGTAGATAATTGGTTATGAGTCTCTGTCAGGGACTAATGGATGAAGTTAAATAGAGCAGGGAGGGAGATAAAAGAAAGGAATATAATTGTATGTTTCAAAGAATTAAGGCAAATTATAGAGAAGCACAATGGGTAAAATAATGAGTACGAAGAAAGAAAAAGGAATAATAGTAGAAGCAAGGGAAACATAAAAAGACAAAGTTGTTATACATGCTTGTTAAAGGTAACATGAAAGCTGGGAGAGGGAGGGAAATCGCGATGAGACGAGTGGTGGAAGGGAGAAAGGGAAAAGATAAGGGCTGCAAAAGAAATATTAAGCAAGGACGAGGAGAGCGACAGGGGAAAGAAATAGACCTCAGGATGAGTGGGGATCCTTAAGGTAAAGGAAGCAAGGCAAAGGAGGAGGGAAGAGGCGATGAAAAATGATATAAATCACAACGAAAGAAATTAGAATGGTGAGAAATGAATACGAGAGAGGAGAAAGGGAAATAAATGGAAAATTAAGAAATATTAGAAAGAGTAATAGAAAAATACAGGGAATGAAGAAGAATTGAAAAACTGGGAGAGAGGAATTAGTACAGCGGCTTGAAAGAATGAATATTACAGAAGAGAAAATAAGAGGCTTGGAACAATTAGAATCAGGATAATGGGAAAATTGAGAAACTGACAGAAAACTTATTAGAAAATATAGGGACATTTTCACTCCGAATGCTGAATGAGTAGGTTGTTCTGCGAGCATTGGTATACTAACAATCGAATAAAGTAAGGCCATCTCTTGAAATACATTTGTATCAAGCATAAGCTTTTTCAACTGCCATGGAGAAAAATACGACATAATAAAAAATACAACCGAACGCACTATTGAAGATGACAACAAAATATTACCACAATCGGATTCAATCGCCACTAGCATTTCTGATTTATTTGCTTAAAACTCCAGTAACCTTAATTTTCCTTAAGCTTTTCAACTACATAAATATGCTGAATAAAATTAGGATCTTCCGGATGATTATGAAGATAAATGTACATCAAACAATATGTTTAACGTGATGATAACAAGAGTTAGAAAGGAATTTGAGAAAATGTAAGAGTGTGATGAGGACGGAATTATAATTAGGGAAGCAATTACAAAAAGAAAGAGTGGTCAATTGTAACAATATACGTAACCCATAAATGTGATAAAAATATGAGCGGAAGTAACAACTGTGATAAGTTATGTGGGAATGACAGGCAGATTTTTACGGAGAAATAGAGATGGGTAGTAGGGAGGAGGATGAATAAGTATGGGAGGTAAGGAGAAAAAGTAAGCTAGTCGAATTAAAATAAAAATTATCTAGAAAGGAAGGAGAGTAATGGAGCTATTAAAGGAGTAATAGTAGGTAATAATGAATGGGGGTAATATGGGAGATGTGGAGGAGAAATATCACTTACTGGGCAAGGGGGAAAGTCTAGGTTATTTACATTATAACAGTGATAGGAGAGTGGAAAGAAATCTGGTACTTGAAGGTAGCAGACAGAATAGAACTGGATCAACAACCGTAGTAAATGGAATAAAAGGGGGAAGGAGTGGAAGAGAGGAGGAGGTGGAATGGGTTATATGAAAGGAATTACTGTAAAAGATAAAGATGGAGACTTGGTGATGCAACTAAAAGAGATTGGAAAGCAGACAGAAAGAATAAAGTTATGTAAAACAAAGAGAGTATATGGGCTTATAATAAATGATGGGTCACAGAAAGTAGGGAAATGAAAAACAGAGAATATTAGTATATAAAAGGAGAATAAACGAAGGGAGAGTTGGAGGAAAATACGAAAGATTATAAATTATTGTGCAGAAGAAAAAACAGGAAAAGAGGATTAGCAGCAGAGCAGAGATTGAGATGGCGAGATAGACTCAGATTTGGATGATAGTTTACAGAGATAAAAAGGAAAATAGGAGACCGAGAAGATTTTATTATGAGATAATCAAAAAGATATTAAAAGATTAAATGGAAGAAGTGGAAAGTGAGGAAGTTGGGACGATCATGGGGAGAGATGAAAATGCCAGGGGTAGGGCGTTTACAAGGAAAGAGGTTAAAGGTGTAATTAGTAACCTAGGGAAGATATTAAAGGAATTATTATTAACCAAAAGCAAAGGAAAGCGAGAGGAACGATTGGTATTTCTAATAAATTCTGAAATTACGCAGGGAATGTTGAACTATAAATTGCAACTGACATAATGAATAAGGTGTTATAAGGGCTACAATTTCTCAGGATTGAAGGGAAGACTAATAGGCCTGGAGCATAGAAAATGCCATCTCAATACAAAGTTGTTTCTACGATTCTGAACGGATTGGAGAAGGACATTGAAGAGATAATTGTGGTGGAGGGCAATAAAATCGGATTTAAAAAGAATTGGTGGTACGAGAGGGAACATCCCTACATCTTAAATGTCATAGTGAGAATAATTCTGAGTAAGAAAAAATTAAACGTGGATGCATTGTTTATAGACTACACCAAGTAGTGAGAAAAAAGCTGTAGCTTAATAAAATAAGAAGTAATAAATGACGGGCTATGAGTGTTAGTGGAGTTGATCTAAGAAAGAACCAGTTGAAGAATAGTAAACCGAACAGGAAATTCTAGATACAGGAAGTGCTTAGACCAGAATGTCCAATAAGCTCGATAGTGTTTTATATCCACACCACAGGTATGGAAATGATGAGAATGGGGTAAGAGAGAAGGGCAGGAAGTAAAAAAATGTGCTTATGACGTGTTGCTGCTAGCAGAGGAAGAGAAAGGAATGGAATAATGAGGATATTAGAAAGTTTTAAATGCAGTTGAAGAATAAATTTACAAAAAAGAGAGAAATAAAGATTTTTAGGAAAGAATGCGGATGATGCGGAATGAATGCGGAAGAAAGGAAAGACGAAAAGAAATGATAGGAAGAGAAAGAACGGTAAAAGAAAGGCTATAAAAAAAGCCGATTTTGAGAGACAAATAGACAATTCCACAAACAGAATTTTCTCAAAAGCGACTCCAAATAGTCTTTAAACATTTTGAATAGATAGTCCAAAATGCACAAAATAACTTTGCAGTGTAAATGAGCTCAGAATTCCGCATTTTCAGTGAAGCTCAAATAACATTTCCTCAAAAAGGCTCCAATGTTTTCAATCAAAATTTGCATATAGAACCACGCTTTACCTTTCTATTAATTATGTCTGATATTCTTAGCCTTATTTTCATTCTACTATTATGGAACACATTATTTTAAATAAAATTTTTTCTCGACATAAATATTACAAAAGAGTCAACTAAACCATTGTGTTAATTGAGAGCACTCTAAATATTGCCTTCTCCATTTTCTATAGACGTAATTAATTTTGAGAAAATTATTCAATAATAAGGGCGATGTTGACATATTTTATGTTTAAGTAACCATGTTGTATTGTTGCAGTGAAAACGAATAGGGCCAATAAAATAAAAGGCATTGATTCAATGCTTCAATGCACATTTAGGGCATCTTATGCATAAAAAGGATAATTTTAGTTAAATTAATTTTATCTGCTAAACGATACACAACCGTGACACGTTTAGAAAGAGTAGTGTTCGATTCGGCCTCTGAGGGAGGTGCTTGTGACATGTGATCCCAAGTGAGTGGATACTATGACTGGTTGTGAAACCCGCGTGTGACATGAATGTTTATGTCGTCTTCGTGACGTGGGGTGTATTACGAGTCGTAATATTACCTCTAAATACTAATGATTCATAATGGCCTTAAAGGCGTAGTGTAGTATGTATAAGCCGTGTGTGTAATTGAACTGGCCCCGTGCAGCCAAAACAAATAATGGTACAAGCACTAAGATTGAACGAAGGGACAGCGTGAGAAATTATGTAAAGGTACAGGACCCAGATAGGCTATGTGATGTTCGAGGACCATGGAGGTGAATGCGAATGTCTGCAGAAGGGCGGGAGAAGTGGTAGACCCCAGCAAAGGCTCTGGTAGTATTTTTACGGGCGGATAGGTAACAGCTGGGAAGAGGACGGAGCAAACACGAACCTAGCCCAGTCTCAGAAAAATATGACCCACACAGGTACAATAAAGTAAATAAATACACTGAACTCGACATATTTACGACGATTCGCGCTAATGTAATATTTAGTTAGTTATACGTAAATTATGCAAACTTTATAATAATTTACTATTTGAAATATTTATTTACAAGCTTTTCAAAATAAATTACTCTAAGTTACTATGTAACAAGCTATGTAACAAGTTACTATGTAACAAGCGTGTTTTTAAAACTATTATCCATTTCATATATATTCTTGAATTATACTATTAAACACATAATTTATGTGCGTTATACGATTAATATTAAATGCGTTTTTATAATTGATATTATAAATTTAATTAATACTTCGGTTGGTAAGAATTCGCTAATTTGATTCTGTAAGAATTTACAAATTATTTACTGATAGAATAAGAATAACTTGTGATATCTGTTCTTACCACAATTCTCATAACAATAATCTGTTGACTGCTGAAGTGTGTTTTTCAAATGAAATGGAAGTTAAAATGATTGCAGCTCAGTTTCCTCTTTTTTCGGTGAAAGGTTTACCCATTTCTTTCATTATATTTACGCCTTAAAAAACAAAGTTACTTGAAAATATTTACACAATACGAATACAAGATTTTCGATCTCTTTTCTAAATTCTTTATTTATTTTGCCCCTTCAATTATTAGGTAGCTACAACATAGTATCCACATGTAGACTACGACATCACAAACGACATATCAGCTACACTCATCGCTCGCCTCTTGCCCAAAAAGTCTCCCGCAGTGCTGAACGTAACAACTGTGAGAACTAGCGTCAGACAGTTTCAGTTTGAAAGTTCGAATGAAACGTAGGTTGAATAGCGACCTGTTAGGACGCGGTTATCCAATCGGGAGCTTCGTTTGAAGTTCATTTTTGACAGTGAAGCTCCCGATTGTATAATCGTGCCCCAGCTGATCAAACGTGAATTCACCCTATGTGTTAATCGGATTGTAGGTGGCGAGTTGCCTCACGCCAGGGCGGAGCGCAATGAGCGAGTCACCTGCATGCCCAGGTCGCGCAGGCCCGCGTGCAGGGCGCCCTCGGCGTCCCTGAGCGCGGCCTCGGCGGCGCGGATCTGCGCCTCGTCGCCCGCCAGGAGCGCTCGCAGCGCCGTCTGCGCGCCCTCCAGCAGCCGCTGCGCCAGCTCCTCGTCCGACACCTCCACCCTGCGCACGCAGCCACGCCGTCCACACCGACCCGCACGACCCGCCTCCTGCCCGCCCCCCCCCTCGCTCTCACACGCGCGTGCGCGGTCAGTCAACAGGGCCCTGCGG